GGTTCGGTCCCTGTACCACATGACATGCTGGCCCTGCCCCAGGCCCACTGAGCTGGCCACCAAAACTGGGCATAGTGGTGCATGCCTGTAATCCCAGCGCTGGGGAGGCTGAGACTGGAGGAGAACTGCCTAGGTAGACCCTGTACCACATACATAATAAAAGAGTTAATAAGGTATGTTTTAGCTAATTATTATCATTTTTAATATAACTCCAGGGGAAAGTATAAAATAAAAATTAGTCCTGTATTTTGAGTCACTTTATGAGGAAAAATGATTCTGGATTGATTTAAAGAACAAAACCCTGCAAACTGGGCATGGTAGCACACACCTACAATTCCAACACTTGGGAAGCTGTAGCTGGAGGATCAGTGTGAGTTCAAGGCCAGCCTGGGCTACGTAGTGAGTCCAGATGAGCCTAGCTATCTAGTGAGACCCTGTCTTAAAAAAAAAAAAAAAAAAAAAAGTCAGAAAGAGAGAAAGAGAGAAAGAGAAAGAGATAGAAAAAATATGCAACTTAAGGGAAGGAAAACAAAGTTTTTAAACAAGGAGGGGAAGAGAGGTTGAAGGGAGGAGAGGGGGTTGGGGTAAAAAGAAGAAGCAAGGTACATCTTGTACAAGTATAAATTCCCTGTGATGAATGCAATTAGGTATATCTAAATGCATCACTATAATTAAAATTAAAAATGGAGTGATTTTGAAAAAGTAACAAGGAAAATGCAAAAAAATAGGAGAGAAGTTCTAAGTGGTGAAATCTGCTCCTGCAGCACTACACAGAAGCTTTTAGCATTTCGATGTGACACAGGTACAAAGAGGAATGGACTGAAAATAACCTGAGATGATGGAGAAATTTATGAACTTAGAATGTAGTATCAAATAGACTACCCATAGCAGAGATGAGAGGTAGGCGAGAGAAACTGGGCAAAGAAAAGGAAGTTGTGATCTTCAGTTTTAGGATTTCACATGTGAAACTAGTCTAGGGAAAAAATAAGATATATATCCTAATAAATACGTTTCTGAGGGTGTTGCTAGAAGTTGCAGATACTTGGGGGCCTTGTTTCAGATATCACACCTCCAAAAGTATAAGGGAATAAATGTCTGTTGTTTTGAACCACTATGCCCCTGCCGTCTTGAGGTGGCAGCCACAGGCACTGTCTTCTACTGACAATCCTAGGAAACAAGAGACTGCGGAGACATACAAAGGAAAACTTCAGGAGGAATGAGGACACCAGAGGGAGCATCCCCTATGAAGTGCACCCTGCGAGTGATTGGTCACGTTACTGATTCTCAATCGTTTGCTCTGAGTGTAAGCAAGGCTACCCTTTTCTAAACTCCACTTCCGCCAACCACCTGATGGTCTTCCATCACCAAGTCGTCCATCCCAACCTTCCAGCTTCACGTTCTCAGCTGTGCCTTTTTCAGTAAGTGTTATAATAAATATATATAGCACAGTCTTCTATCCCAGGAGAAAATCAGAATACAAAGTTATCCTTTGTTTTGTTTTGTTTTGTTTTGTTTTATTCAACTCTGGCTACTACCTTACTTCAATGACTTTTTTCAGCTGAGAGAAAGAGGGCCCAACACATTTTCTGGGCCCCTTTCTCCCTCTCAGATAGAAGCTTTTTTTTTTCTCAATAAATTCATCCTCCTCTTAAGAAAAAGATAAAAGGAAATCCATAAAATTTCTCAATTTTAATAACCCTACTTCCCACGATCTATGACCTAGATATCAGTATATATTTAGAACCTCTTTTTCCCCCTTTGACAATGTTAACAATTCACTGACATTCTAGAGAAGCCAATCCATATCCAATTCAAGATAACATAAAATTTGGCTTCTGTGGTCTTGGACCTTGAGCATATTTCAGCAACACTTAAGTAACCATCCGAATGGGAAACAATTTATCGTTAAAGCTAAAGCATGTGCTGGGTGCGGTGGTGCACACCAGGCCCCAGCATTCTGGGAGGCTCAGGGGAAGGGGTTCAGGCCAAGGTCCAGTCTCAGGCAAGTTAGGGAATCCGTGATGCCCTGTCTAAAATCAGCAAAAAATAAATAGGACTGGAGGTAGCTCCAGTGATTCAATCTCTTATACCAAGAAATGTATAAATGCCCTAAAAGAGGAAGGAAAATTAAAATATGTTTTATTGATAGTGTTTTTCTTTAAGTCCCCAATGTCAAATGAAATAGCTTAATGCTATACACAGAAGTCAGTAAAGTATTAGTAAATGCTGTCCATTTGATCCAAAACGATCACCTTTATAAGAATATAAAACAATGGAATTTCTGCATATAAAGACTGCTAAACGAGCCCTAGTATCTGAAGTTCAAATGAAGTCTAATGGAATACTGGCAGAACAGTGAGCCCCAAAGAGCAGCAGAGTCACCTTATGTACATATCAATTTATATTAATTTGAATCTACAGTAGGAAGAATAAAATAAATGAACATACATGGCCATGGCAAATACAATAAAAATGCAACTCCAATAAAATCTGAGCATATGGGATAAACATTTAAAATTTAATTTAAAAGTCTAGTTCTATTATATAAAAGAAATAATGTTTATAACTTGGAATAAATGATGGAAATGAAAAAAATGTGAGAAACGATATGGTAAATTGATATACAAAAGTGGCTCCAAGCAACAATAGCAGACCAACGCAGTGAGGCGAAAATGAGAGGTAGGAGGAGCCAAGTGCGAGCTCCAGGGGACACCTTGGTCAGGTCACCTCAAAGAATCAAAGGTGCGGATGGGGAGGAGGCAGCCGCCAGCGCTGATGCAATTCTCCTTCCCAACTCTGAGAAACCGGTCAGGGACCATGAGACGATACGGGTGCCTCGAAATCTACCGGAGATGGGAGATCCAAAAGTTCGGTTGTACTTCTTTAATATTTTGTGCTTTAACTGAATACAACCAGTAATTGTCTTATTTTTAGCTGTGATACCTTTAAGACCCAAGTCCAATCCAATAGCTCAGGCCATTTTATTCACTCCCTTAGAGGGCATGGGATCAGGGGCGTGGCGCATTCCACGCGGATGTGAACACGAGCAGAAGCGTGTACGCGCGTGCATCTGCTCATGCTCGGTGCCGTCACGCGAACATTTACACGCATATTATTTAATAATGGAACAACCCTGTGCAGTAGGTGTTTGTCACCACCCTCCTTTTAGGGGTAACAACAAGAGCAAGTTAAAGATGATTGTATGATTTGTGCTACGCAACAGAAATAACTGAGTGGCGCTTGAAGCCGCAATCTGAGTCCAAAGCTTGAATTCTGAACCCCAACGACCCTGAGCCGAGCCTGGCCATGTGCGATCCTTGGTGCGCCGTGTCGTCTATCTTCACAGCTCTGTTCCACTGACATGAAGGATTCCCATTTTCCCAGCAGACTGAGAGTTGAGGACATTATGTAACTTATGCAAAGACAGCAAAGAAGTGACAGGGCAGAAATTAGAATCCCCACTGTTAAAATTTATACATAGTGTGAAATAGTGATGCAACGTTTGTTAAATCAAATCATTTTTCTTTCGAATCAATAAAAGCTCACTTTATTTTTATCCACAAATAATCCAAGAAAACATGTCTCAAAAATACCTCTAATTTTTGTCTCAATATATCATTATTTTATACATTAAAATAACTACATTCAAATTACATTAGCCTGCCAGAGTAAAGATTCCAGTTCTTAGCAATCTACTCATTAATTTATTTTGATAGGTACTTTTTCTTTCCCCTTATAAGCATATGCAGACTACTGGGCTCCAAAGGGAGCCCGGAGAGTCATGGAGTTTTGCGGATAATCATTGCTAGGATTCTGTCCACAGCCATGTAATATTTTTGGCATCAGGGGACTATAAACCCCTCTAGAAAGGGAGAACAGCCTTGGATACAATGGGCAAAAAATCAACACAGTTAAGAGAATGATATTCTTTTTGTACACTGTCATTCTCTTCACTAACACAGCTAAAATCTAACACAACCTATCAATATGCTCCGGGAAGAAAATAGTTCATGCAGAAACAGACGCTTTGCAAATGCTTCGCTCTACTTCAATGTTAAATGAAATGCTTCATATGTCACTTCCGATGACAATCTTCTTAATTAATTTGAGGATCTTTGATTTAATTCAGAGGAAAGAAAAGAAGGTAGTATCTGGTTTTAAGAAATTGGACTGGAAACATCAGCTTATTTTATATTTCAGCAGTAGGAAGGGTAAGATAATATCCAACAAGCTTTAGCGGTAAAAATCCACGTCCTTCTGTAAAATACTGAGTCATCCAGACCCAGATGCTTATGACAGCTATAACAAATCCTTTACCATGAGACACAATGTTATAAATCGAAATTCTAGAGGTTCGTGAACTTTCAGCCTGTCCTCTCTACTTTACTGCTCTCTAAATTTCCCTTGCCCACCCATGCATGAACAGAGCTTAATCTGGGTTAGATCCAGCTGGATCTTAAATCCAAAAACCTTTAGGAGCCAACCAGGTGACTTCTAAGACTTGCGATCAGAGATGTGAAGGCAGTGAAGGACACACCGTCCTCGTGGTGCCAGTGCGGAACAGATTGTCAGGTGGCGAGAGGAGCCGGAATGTCCTTTGCTGTCTTTTTTATATGGGTTCAGACGCTAGACATGTGTGAACCAAGATACCTTCCTTCGGGAAATGTGTCAATACACTGATACGTGATTGCTGTTACCGTTACTAGGTTTGACTTCATGTATGTCTTTACAGATTGGCTTTATGCTCTGGTAGTTTCCCATTTTATATAATTCCAGTATGAAGGCACTTGCAAGGTTACTGGACATACTTTTTTAAAAATTAAAAACAATCCTGTTTTCATTTTATATTGTTGTTCACCTGTGTACTTGACTGTTAATTCAGATTGAATGTAAGGATGTCGAACTTTATGGCAAAGGTGCTATCTACAAAGAATTACAATGTACTTTTTGGGAATTAGGTGTTTCCGTAAAAACTGCTTGGTGAAATGAATCTGACTTACCAAACTCCTTGGGAACGGCTATAGAATAAACACAGTTGTGTCCCACACTATAATTTTTTGGATAATTTGGTGATAGAACAGTGCCTTCTGATCCTGTTGAGCGACTCCCACAGGGTGCTAGGAAATAAAAATGATAAAAATGCTACCATTAGAAAATGTTCAAAGTACCATGAATAACTTCTTGATATAAAAATGGGCTACTGGATTTCAAAGTGTAGAATTTATGCCATTTTTAACAAGCTCCTCCACTGTCAAATACCCAAATAATGTACATGGGCAACATTTTATAAATATTCAAATTTACTCTTTTCCCATGCAAAATAGTATAATTATATTATAATTATGGTATCTCTAAATGAGACGAGGCAAATGTTTGTGGTAAACTCATAGAAAAGAGATCCTGTGAAACACAAGACAGAGGATGCACTTGGATGAGAGCTCTGGTAGTGAAAGAGACCCGAGTTACATATTAATAGAGACTGAAAGTTGCTATTCTCTAGCTGAATGAGATCATTCAAAAATTAAGTAAAATGGGAAAGCATAGCCAAAGAAGAAGTTCTGTAGCACATTAAAGGTTCAGGATCAGATAAATAAGGCACGGCGATGCTTGGCAGCCAAGGCACAAGAAAGTTTCATGAGAAAGAAAAGGTTTAAACCTTACAAAGTGGTTAGTAAAGGTGGGGGGTGAGGGTGGAGGGAAACCTGGACTGATTTGGAAATCTGGAACATAAGGAAGTAGGTTGATTCTTTCTCATTCCCTTAGGTGGTTTCCAAGGGGACAGGTCTGGCCAGGCGGGCCTTTCCAATGGCCTCTCTCTTTGTCTTTGTTAGAACATCTTTGCTGATCTCCTGATTGGTTGGTCCTGGATAGAACCTTGTGTTTCTCTTCCAGTTTGGATCCCTCCTGCTTGCAGTGTCTTTTATTGATGTACATATCCACTCTGTAAGTTTTTTAAGCTATGTCTTCCTGGGGAAAGGCTGCATTTATTTTGAGCAGCTAGTTGGAAAGTTGTTGTTACTCTGACTCTCTCTTTTTATCAATATAAGACTGATGGCTTGATATCACTCAGCTTGCTTAATGGGGTTTGAATTTGTACTGAAAGAATAGAATATAATTTATTATTCTTCTGAAGCACCAAAAGGAGATTTTTGGCATTATTAATAATAATTTATTCTAGAACAGCCCTCTATAAACTACAGTCACCAGATCAAACTCAGCTGATGGACAAAGAACAGGTTTTACATTTTAAAAGAGCTACAAACAATGAAAAAAGTACAGCTGCATATAAGTTAATTGGTGGAGCCCAAAATGATATTTGGTGCTTTACACTAAAATTTAATGTTTGGCTGTTTTTCTTTTCTTTTTCTTTCTCCCTTTTTGTAATACTGGATATGAAACTCAGAATATCCAGTGTGCTGGACAAGCACTCGACCACTGAGCTACATCTCAGCTTGACTTTGGTTTTAAAGAGCACCTGAAGCAATATTAAATTACTGCTAAGAGAGTTTTGAGGAGCAAAGAAAGAAGGAGAAAGAATATATAGGCACAAGACAGCTATCCCAGTTATATGACTAATTTCATTTATTCCTGGAAAAGTTCAGTTTGTGCATATATTGGTTGATTAATTTTGCAATAATCCCTGTATCTTGTAATCTGGTCAACATTTGCAGACAATAAGACACAGCACTAACCATTGCTAATTTCTTATTATCCTGCTTTGCAACTCCTAATCACACTTTTTATTTCTTTTTTTTAAATAACCTTTCTTTAAAACAAAAAGAGGGCCTTGTGACAATTTGAAAAAGTCAAAACTTTGGATGGACTCCTGACAAAAATTTTAAAATATAGCAATAGGTATAAAAATGCCCAAATCACAAACGGTATATTATACTGAGTAACATGGCTAATGAATGTTCTGACTTTTTTTCTTAATATTCTGTAAAAGGAAATGAAATAGTTACAATTAAAGAGATTGAAATTAAACTTCCTAGAAACACAAATTGACAGTGACAAAGCCACACTTGCTGCCATCACTCATTACTGTTTGAGAACGAAGCCGACAGGCGTATTCTTATTTTGGCACTGAGGTCTTCATTCAGCTCATAATGCTAGTGATGAGGGAGTCATTCAAAGACAGAAATGCTTTTTATGTTACCTTCCTATCTGATATTCAAGCGCTCAAACTGAAAGTGACAATACTTTCAGAGGAGGTGACAAAAGCTGTTATTTTTATATCTGGAAAGTAAGAACAGAAGTGAGTGCTTCTCACTCAAGTTCAGTTCTGAGACTTAGTCATGCACATTCTGCCAGCCTACCTTAGTGTGTGTCACCTTTCATTTGCTTCATATACCTTATTTTGCATAATAGATGTTCAGGGCAGCTTTTGTTGGAAATCTTATTTATAAAGGTGAGGGTTTTTCTTTTAAACCAAGAAAATATGTAAGACAAAGTCAGTAGCATGTTCTTATGGTCACTAATATATCAAACCTGTTATGTAGACTGGTAGCCATAATCAAATGGTTTTATGTTTGTTTTTTATTTTTTTCTATGTATGTGGGGTGGTTGTTATAGAATTCAGCACTCCTCTTTCCTAAAGCTCTCCATAGAGCCTTGGTTAATCTTGGACTTGTGATCCTCCTGCCTCAGCCTCTAAAGTTTTGGAAATACAGCTGTGAGCTCTCAATTTACATTAGTAATGTGGAATACTCTGGTGACTGACAATAATCACATAGTAGCTATTGTAATCTGTTTCATCTACAAAACATAAGTGCCATCGGCCCAGCCAGCTTCACTCCTTGTGAATTCTGGTCTCTGTTATATTCTCTTTCTAATGTGACTCGTCATAGGAGCTAGCAGAGAAAGGACAGCATTTATCTATGTTTAGTCCTAAGAGTAGGATATAAAAGCAAACAAAAATGTTATATTTTACCATTGTTTTTGCTTTTTAACATATACTTCATATATTCCTTTAAGCTTTTTCAAAGTGGCAATTATTTTCTCTCTATCCATTATAATACATTGAACATGAAAACCTACTTGTTCAAGGCCACAACTAATATAATTTATGAATCTATAGTTCACTTGTAGGTGTGTGGAACATGCACAATTACTAGAAGATGTGGCTCTGTAAGGGTGGGTACAGATGGGTGAAAGAAAGAAAGAAAGAAAGAGGGCTGAGGGCTGGGAGATGGCTCAGTAGGATAAGCGCTTGACTGGCAAACGTCAAGGATCTGAGTTCAATCCCTGGTTCCACAAAAAAAAAAAAAAAAAGAAGAAAGAGAGCTGTTTTATTTGAATGGAGACATCAGTAAGTTTTGGAAAGGGCCATGTTCTTTTTCAAAATCACACTTGATCATGAGAAACTCTTGTGCTATTTTAGGATCTGCCACCATTCTGGCAATGACACTAATATCTACGTAACCAGTTGAAACTAATCATATTGTAAAGCACTGAAGAATTGCATTTGTGAAATTATTAAAGTTGACAGATGCATTTTAGATACAAGTATTGATCATATTTATACATAAGAAACTTGTACCTGCACATGACATGACTGGATTCTTTTCTTCCCATATCCCTACCTCCTCTTCAACTCATCTTCCTTTCCTTAGAGAATTGTACTTTTTTTGATTTTTTAAAAATAATTTTTATTCATTTTAATGAGAAAAAAAGAAAATAGTAATGGAACAGTTTCAAAACAGGTTTGTAGGATGGTTACAATAATTAATACACTGCATATTGTTGTCTTTGTAGTAGTTATTCAGAGGACAAGATGTTTAGCCAAGATATCATGTCTTCATCTTGTCCTTATAATTGTACTTTGTATGTGTTTAGAGAACCAAAATAGTTTTGAGGTTTTAAATATCAAACTTAGCTTAATTTTAAATGATGTTTTTCTTCACTCTGTCTTACTAGCTTGGGGTCCAGTTACTGATCGATTGCTTCTACTTTTACACAGTGTATCTCCTGCCCTCTACGTTGTCTTTTGTTGTATCTAGCCCAGTCCAGACTTTCAGCAGCTTCTATATAGGCTCTTCCAATAGATGCCCAGGTCTACTCATCACAGCATCATATAATCAGTAATGAGATTTCTAACATGCAAGCTGTCCCCTATTTTTTCCTCTCTTCTCAAGACAGCACACAGGCAGGGCAGATTCTGTGTGAGTACTTGTTGGCTGACAAAGTGAACTATGCGTCTGAGACCAAGCTACCATACAATGATGCTCCACATAGACTGTGTTTCCTATCTAGATGTCCCCTAGAGCTTTTTATGCTCTCATAGGTGGGGCTTTTGGGGGTTACCACATCATGGGTTTGTCCCCTGATGGGCTTATAGCTGGATGTGGAAGCCTGGTTGAGAGATGTTACTTGAGAGGGTCTAGTGCCTACCCAGCCCTCTGCATCCCTCTCTGCTTCCTGCTTGATGTGTTCAGAAGCCCTTTCTCCTCTGCTGTGACTCTCTACTGTGATGCCCTACTTTGGATTCAGTCAACTATAGACTGAAATAACTGCAAACTAGGAGCCAAAACCTTTCCTTCTCTAAGTTGCGAGCTTGGGGTGTTGCATCTCAGTGATGAGGGAAGTGACAAGAGAGCATGCAACGCTGGTATTTCTTTGGTTGAACTGGCCCCAGAAAATTCACTTACATTTAGTGTGAAACCCAGACATGTCTTTATAAATGGATATGAACTTCTTTCTGTGACTTACCTTTTTGATGTTTCTATGTTTGATTACCTAGAATCACTGTTGTTTCACATTCTGGGGAAATATACAGTGCTAAAGTCCTGAATGAATCTTAGAACATTCGCAGCATTATCAGTGATACAAGGGTTAAACACCAGGGCCTCCTGGATGCTGAGCACCACTGAAAACATTCAAAGTCATGCCTGCCAATTCACAGCACCACAGGCACACTAACCTTTCATCAATCTGGGGCCTCCCTCCCTGACTAAGTGACAACACCCCCATTTAAATTTCTCATTCTTTCTCTCTTTCTTTTGTAGTTTACTTTTAAAAATACCTTTGGCTGAATTTGTAATTTGATTCATGTAAGTAAAATATATCTATGTTTCTTGGTTTTTTTGTTTGTTTGTTTGTTTGTTTGTTTTTGTGGGTA